AGTATTTCCTCTTGTACATGGCCTTCCTGGAATACATGGCAGACCGGGAGTATCTGCCGATGCCCCGGGCTAGGACTGGGTTTGGGCTTCCCCTTCTTGGGCTTTTTTAGCCTTGGGGTCACCCTTTTCAACCTTGCCACTGGCATCAGCCTTCTTGGCTTCAGGTTTCTTCTCCTTGGTATCCTGCTTTGCAGCTTATTCACCTGCCATCTTATATAGTGGGAAAGAAAACTCCCCTTAGCGCTTTTGTTTCTTCCTTATGATATGTGAAAACCTAAGAGAAAGATTGGGTTGATTATTCTACAGATTAAGATTTTTGTCTGGGCTTTTGAAGATTAACTATCAAGTTTTCTTATGCTCTGTTTTTCCCACTACATTTATCAAAAATCAAATACAGCACATGTACTGAGTCATAATCAGTTTTCATTGGAGGCTTAATTAAAATTCCTTTATCCATGTTACTATGAAACATTTGGTTAAAGTATTTGAAATCATCCAAAATTATGTTTCCCGATGACAAAAGTGAGATGGCTAAGTTCTGTTTACATAAATTTCTATCTCCCTCTCCCCCTTTCCTCAAATTTCTTGTAGGTGTCTGTGATCAGAGTTTTGGAATTCATGTTGCAGAGCTTGCTAATTTTCCTAGGCATGTAATAGAGTGTGCTAAACAAAAAGCCATGGAACTTGAGGAATTTCAGAATATTGGAGAATCACAAGGCTATGATGAAACAGAACCAGCAGCAAAGAAGTGCTATCTGGAAAGAGAGGTTTGTCAGTTTGTTTTTATAGTTACTTAACCTCTGTATAATAACCAGGTCACCAAGATGTGTTTTCTTCTATATGATAGTTATGTTTAGTTTTTAGAAAATTATTTTATTTGAATGTATTTTTTTATTTGCTTATTTTAATTTGACCAGAGAAGGATGGACAGAGAGAGAGAGAGAGAGAAGGAGAGAGAGAGAGAGAGAGAGAAAGCAGACACCAGGTCTGTGACTCGAACCACAGTTGGCCATGTGGGAGTCCAGCACTCTTAACCACCACACCACCTGCCAGCCCCAGTCGTCAGTTGTGTTTATTTTTTGATCATTATTGGTTTTCACTTACATGTCTTTATATGGCACAGATTTTATCTCTCTCTCTTTTTTTTTTTAAGAGAGATTTTTGCTATAGGGTGCATGTGCTCACAGGAGAGACAAAGAGACAGAAAGTGAGAAATCACCACCCCCGGGGGGATGGCCATACTTCAGTCCCTTCTCCTCCATTCTCCTCTTGGGATTTTGGGCATGCACATGCATGCACCTGGCATGAGTTTCAAGCTGCTGGGTCTGGGACTCGAGCTGGGGTTGACTAAGTGGAAGTCCAGCAATGTAACCATTATACTATCTGCTGTTCCCCATATGTGTTATTTTGATTCCTACACTGTATATATCTGCATGATCAGAATATAGTATTTCAAAACCAGATTTAATAAGTATTGGAGTAAAGGAATATTCATCTAGGTTTAAAAGAAGTTATTCAGGGGCCAGCAGGTGGCATGATGGTTAAGGTGCTGGACTCTCATATGGCCATCTGTGGCTTGAGTCCTGGATCTGGTGGTTTGAAAATCACGCTGAGCACCTATGCATGTGCCCCCCAAATCTTAGGGGGACAATGAAGGAGAAGGGATTGTGGTGTGGCCATCCCTCTTGGGGAGTGATTTCTCACTTTTTCTCTCTCACCATCTCTCTGGTGAGCACATGCTCCTTATGGCAAAAACCTTTAAGAATTAATTAATTAATTACATCATTCAAAGAAACTGTAGATGTCCAGGTCTGACTCTTTGATTAGTTCATAAACAAATGATCAAGTCTAATTTGTGTATTTACTTAGGTAAGATAATGACAAAGAAAATTTTTAAATTCATAATTTCTGCCCTCCATTTGTGTAGAGTGTAGTGTGTGTGTTGGGGGTGGGGGGGAGTAAAAGTAAAGACTGTGGATACCAGCAGGTGGCATAGTGGGTAAGGCACTGGATTCCCATATTGTTGACTGTGATTTGAGTCCTGGACCCTGCAGCTCAAAAAATCACTTCAAGTGCCTGTGCCCAGAATCCCCAGGAGAGAATGGAGGAGAGGGGATAACAGTGTGGCCATGCCCCAGGGGATGATTTCTCACTTTTCCCTCTGTCTCTTTCTGGTGTGTGCCATATGGCAAAAACCTATGGGAGAGAAAAAGGATAAACAATGTTTCATAGAGAATATTTTTAAGTGGTAGGACAAATGTTTATTCACAAAAGCTTTTTGTGGGACAGAATGCTTGCATTTTTGTGGGAGAAATTTTGTCTTACGCTGGGCCTTCTCTAAGTAATGGGTCAAATTTTGATGTTCACACAGAAAGATACAAACATATTTTTAACTTTTTTTTTTAATTCAATACTTAGTTTTTCTTTAATAATGGACTTGATGCTGCAATCCTCCAGCCTCCATAGGTTTTTGCTATAGAGTGGGCACCACCACACCCCAAATTATTATCTATCTAATTGTGTTTATTCTTTTTTTTTTTTTTTAATTTGATCAGATAGAGAGAGATGGGGAGGCTGGGTGCTTGAGAAAGCAAGCCACCAGGTCTGATACTTGAACCGTGGTCAGCCATGTGGGAATGTCCAATGCTTTAACTACTGTGCCATCTGCTGGTCCTGGACCCTTTTGTTTTCTTTAATAATGAAAACAAAAGAATAGTAATTCACTGCTTGGCCCTTTAAAGTACTTATTGGCATTTAATTGTCTTGTAGGAAAGCAGGCTTTTTAGTTCTACTTCATATATAGTAATAAACATTTACATAATACTTTTTTACCAGGCACTATACAAAGCTTATATGTATTAACTCTTTGATTCTCACAACAGCTTTGTGAAGTTAGTGATACAATTATGCCTAGTTTATTGAAGAGGAGTATAGGTTAAGGAATTTGCCCAGGGGTCATATAGCAAGTAATCATGTTCTTTGGATCTGTAAAAACCGGGCAGTGAAGAAAGCATCCTGTATTTGTGTGAGTATTAAATTTTCAGTGACTGTTTCAGCCTTACAGTATTATTTGTAAACCTTTTTTATTCTCTTTAGGGCCAGAAGGTGATGCAGTGGTTAAGGCACTGGACTCCCACATGGGCAACCAAGGTTCGGGTCCTGGACCTGGCAGCTTGAAACTCATGCCAGGCACATGTGCATGTGTACCCAAAATCCCAAGAGGAGAATTGAGGAGAAGGGATTACAGCATAGCCAACCCCCATGAGGGGTGATTTTTTTTTTCTCTCTCTCTCTCTTTCACTGTCTCTTCGGTGAATGCATGCGCCCTATAACAGAAATCTCTTAAAAATTCAGCTCCTTTGTCATCAGCAGCTGAAAATAAATTTATAAATGACTTGAAGTGAAGAAATAATGGTCATCTAAGGGTTTTGCTATATATTGTAGACAGTGTACAGTTACAATATTCTTTAAATATTTGGTGGCATATTTATATTGAAAAAAATTTTTCTAAGAATCATTTTAGTTAACTTTATTTGTTTATTTATTTATTTTTAATTTGACCAGAGTGGGACAGGGCAAGAGAGAGGGGGGTGGGAACCAAGAAAGCAAACCGCCAGGTCTGGGACTTGAACTGTGGTCAGCCATGTGAGAGTCCAGTGCCCTTAACCACCATGCTACCTGTTGGCCCCTAGATTGAAATTTAATGATTGCCGTCTAATGTGACTTTTAGAAAAATGCTTTATGACTAATAGGATGTTCACATCTTTTTCAGCAAGGTGAAAAAATTATTCAGGAATTTCTGTACAAGGTGAAGCAAGTGCCCTTTACCGAAATGTCAGAAGAAGACATCACAATAAAGTTAAAACAGCTGAAAGCAGAGGTGATAGCGAAGAATAATAGTTTTGTAAATGAAATTATTTCACGAATAAAGGTTACTACATGAGAAAATCCTGTCAATAGAATGAAGATAGTGTTGATAAGCTAATGTCCGTAATACTTTTGTATCGTTTTATATTAACCCTTTTCCATAGTGTTGACTGTCACTGTCCTTGGGATATCAACTTAATAAAAATATTTAGTAGTATTTTGTCTTACCTTTCAAAGATCCTTTATTTTGTTTTGAAAAATTAGAGCTTGTTTAAATGGACATGGGCAGTAGTAAATAGTGTGCTGACATTTATAAATTAAAATCATGTAATTGGTGGAATTTGAGATGCATTGTATTTTTTTGTAATATAACTTCTATACATGTTTATTCTCAAATGGAACAAATAGCTCTGAGACATTGTAAAAGTAAAGAATTTTTTTTAAAGAGAGATTTTTGTTACACGTGTGTTTGCTAGAGAGACAGAGAGAGAGGAAGTGAGAAGTCACCCCCCAGGGGGTATAGCCATGCTGCAGTCCCTTCTTCTCCATTCTCCTATTGGAATTTTGGGCATGCATGCACACGTGTCTGACATGAGGTTCAAGCTGCCAGCTCTGGGACTAGAATTGTGGTCATCCATGTTGGAGTCCAGTGCCTTAACAACTATGCCACCTGCTGGCCCCCAAGGTAAAGTATCTTAAAGCTAGAGGTCACCACAGATATAATTTCCATTGATTCCCCAGGAAATCTCTCTGTTCTCAGGAGACAAGTTGGCTGTATATGCATTAGCTAAGGAACTTACAAAGCCAGAGTCCTAGTATGATTCTTGGTTCTCTCATTCTCTTATCCTTAATCTATGGTGAGACCTAGAAATGTAGATTTTTTTTTTTCTTTTTTAACAGGTTTTTTTGCCTTAGGGTGTGTGCACTCACTGGAGAGAGAGAGAGACAGACACAGTGAGAAGGAAAGTAAGAAATTACCTTCCAGGGGAGATGGTCACACCACAATCCCTTCTCCTCCATTTTCCTCCCAGGATCTTGGGCTCATACGCATGAACGCACAAGCGCCTGGTGTGATTTTCATGCCACCAGAGATCTAGGACTTATACTGCAGTCAGCCATGTGGGAGTCCAGTGACAACTATTAAGCTATCCACTTGTCCTGAAATACAGATTTTTTTTATTAATTCTTTCTTTTTGAATTATTTGTTTAATTTCATTTGTTATCATTGCTATTTTTAAAATTTGAACAGAGAGAGAGAGAAAGAAAAAGTGAGAAAGCAAGTTGCCAGATATGGGACTTGAACTGCAGTCTACCATGTGGGAAACCAGCACCCTTAACCACCACCACATCACCTGCCAGCCTCCTGAAATACAGATTTTTAACACAGCCTTCCAAATTGGGCATCCTGATTTAGTTTACTCCTCTTATTTTACAGGAAAGAGATGGAGTGGTTAAGACTAAGAAACTGATTCAGCAGATCCTAAAGGGAAAAAGGACGGATTTTTTTTTTTTTTTTTAAATAAATGGCAATGGGACAGTGGGATATCCATTTAGGAACAAATGAAATTTGACTCCTATTTCAAATCTTACTATAAAAATCAGCTCCAGTGAATTTGGACCTAAATGTATAAAGAAAAAATAATAAGCTTTTATTGCTTATTTTAATTTATTTATGTTTTTTTAGAGAGATTTTTTGCTATAGGGCACATGTGCTCACTGGAGCACCAGAGAAAGACAAAGCAAGAAATTATCCCCAAGGGGGATGGCTATGCTGCAGTCCTTTGTCTGTTCTCTCGGGATCTTGGGCAGACACACCTGATGTGAGTTTTAAGCTACTAGGTCAGGGACTCACACGGTTGACTAAGCGGGAGTCCAGCAATGTAATGCCATCTGTTGATCCCTTATTTTTTATAATTCTGGAGAAGATAATATAAGAAAATATGTCTTAGGTCCTTAGCTTTGGGAAATATTTCTTTTTCTTAAATTTGCTATATAGGGTGTGTTTGCTCACTGGAGAGAGATGGAAAGAGGAGATGTGGTTGAAAAAGCATCCCCAGGGGAGATTCTTCTCCATTTCTCATTTTGGGCACCCATGTATAATACCCAGTGAGTTTTTTAAGCCGTCAGGTCCAGAACTCAAACCATAGCCACGTAGGGTTCAGACACCTCAACCACCCCACCATTAGGTAGCCTGGGAAAGATTTGTGTTATAAACCCATCCATGAAGTTTGACATTAATATCTTGAAATTATGAACTGGTTTCATGATAAGATGTCACAAAGTAAAGGAATAATTGCAAAACATATTAGTAGCCAATAAAATACCAAAGGATTTCTATCTGGAATAAAGAATCCCTATGAAATTACTAAGAAGAGGGTCACTGAAGGATGTGAAAAGATGCAGTTCAGCGATAATACAGGTCAAACCCATAATGAACTACTATGACACATGCAGATTAGGACTGCTAAAAACAAATTCAGGTAAGTATGGGCAAAGGTGTAGGGATTTTGGACACATTGACCCAGCATGCCTCTTATGCCACAGGGGACCAGGATTCGAACTATAGTCTACTGTGTGAGATCCAACTTTCTATGTACAGTACTTGACTATTGCCCTGGGGTTGACCCTGTGATTTTATCTTACACACAAAAGTTTGATATGAGGGGGCCAGCAGGTAATATAGAGGTTAAGGTGCTGGATCCCACGTGACCTACTTTGTGATTTTGAGTCCTGGACCCAGGGGCTTGGGAATCACTGGGCACTTGGGCCTGCATGGCTAAAATTCTGAGAGGAGAGTTGAGAAGGTATTGTGGCAAGCTATTCTGGGTGGTGATTTCTAATGTTCCCTTTCTGGTGAGATTATGCACCCTATAGCAAAACTTTAAAAAAAAGTTTGGTATGAAAACAAATGAAAGTTTAAGACTAATAAGTCTGTTTTTAAAACAGATTTATTTATTTAATTCCATTTGTTGTTGTTATTTTTTAATTTGACCAGAGACAGAGAGAGACAAAGGAAAAATGAGAAAGCAAGCCACCAGGTCCAGGACTCAAACCACGGTTGGCCATGTGGGAATCTAGCACCTTTAACCACCACGCCACCATCTGGCCCCATGAGAATAATGAGTCTTTTAAAATACTTGATTTTTTTGTTATCAGACCAATCTTGTGGCCTAGTTTTTAAAGAAGAAGGATCTCACAGGATTGATTGCTAGTTTAAATCTCAGCCCCAGCGACTTGAATAACATACTAGACTTGTGCATGTGTGCCCAGAAAATTTCTACAGGATGGAGAAATAGAGAAGGGATTGCATTAATGACCATGCCCCATTGGGGAATGCCTTCTTTCAGGTAAGCACATGTATCCATGTACCCTCTGGTTTGTAAATAGATACTTGACTTACTATGTTCTTTCTCTTCATCAGTATTGATAATTTAGAGTTGAGTTATGTAATTTCTGTACAGTAGAAGTTTGGAAAGAAAGCAAGCTCACAAAGTATTTTCTTTTTTTAAAAAAAGTATTCATTTATTTACCTATTTATTGTGATTTTCAAGCTACCCAGTCTGGTACTTGAACACTATGCCCTTCCTGATCTCAGCTCATGAAGATTTTAAATGTAGGAATTTTTATTGATTTATAAAATCATTTAATCACTTATTAAGTGGAAAAACTTAGTTCAAAAACCAATGTTTAATTCCAGTGAAGTACTTCATTGGTTCACTATGAAAGTGTTTTTAGATTGCTACATAAAAGCACGTTAAAAGTGGAAATCAGCTTGTGGTTTTAGTCATTGGGGCCACAGGATAGTGGTGGGAGCCAGGATTGATTGATTCTATGAAAACAGGCTATTAAGCTTTGAGAAATCAGGTTGATTTAAAAAAATAATAATTATTATTTTATTTTATTTATTCATTTATTTATTTTTAGTTTGACCAGAGAGAGACAGAGGGTAACAGTGAGAAAGAGAGGAAGTGAGAAAGTAAGCCACCAGATTCAGGACTTGAACCCTGGTTGGCCATGTGGGAGTGTCCAGCGCCTTAACCACCACACCACCTGCTGGTCCCCAGAAATCAGGTTGATTTCTAAATGTCTTTAGTTCTAAGACATTTTTTGAAAATAACCTGTATTAGATCTGCTTAAAATGTTTCAGACTTAAGCTGTGCTTATTATATGAATATGCTAATGAAACAACCAGGCCTTCAATTATAGTCTTCTTCCTTTTGGAATGGTCGAAAGCAAAATATAAACTTAATTTCTGACCTGTCAAAGATAGTTACAATTAAAATTTTTAATCATAAAGTGGTTTGGTTTTTCTTTCCCACTTAAATATATAAACATTACCCGAGATTTAGAACTAAATTATACTATTATAGAATCTGCCACCACCACATTTCTGAGAAAACATGATTTTTGCATTTTAAAAAAGAAAGTTAGTACTAATGAGGGCCAGCAGGTGATGTGAAGGTTAAGGTGGCTGGATCCCACATAGCCAACTACATGGTTCAAGTCCTGGACCTGGTGATTTGAAAAACATGCTGGACGTGTGTGTACCTGCATGAGTGCACGTGCCCAGAATCTTGAGAGAAGGGGTTGTGGTATGGCCATAATTTTCACTTCTTTGTTCTCACCCTGCAAGTACATGCACCTATAGCAAACTTAAAAAAAAAAAAAATTCGCTAAGAATCTATACAAGATGCAGTTGTTTCGTAATTCGTTTTTTTCCTCTTAAAATTCTGGGGCAGAGCAGGGAGCAGTAGGTGGTGGTATGGTGGTTAAGGCGTTGGACTGGACCTGGACCTGGTAGCTTACTTTCCCACTCCCCCGTCCCCTTTCTCTCTGGTGAATTAAAATAATAATAATAAATAAGTAATTTTAAATAATCATAAAAAGTAGTATTAGTGAGGTAGGACAGGTAGGAAAAAGATGTTTTAAGGTACATGCATTTAAGAGTTTTGTGCTAGATTAACTGAGCTAGCTGGGTGACTAGGGTAGATATATTTAAAGAATAACTTTTCCCCTTAAAATCTCAGTGTTCC